GAAGAGGTAAAACGTTTGGGTCCCTAACCTAACCTTCCATTGTTTTTTGCTATTATACAATATCTGTCCTTTAGACTTTGCCCAGAGAACTCTGTTCTTTCATGAATACCAGCTTTCAAACTTGCATTCACATTTAAGTGTAAATTATCTGATAAGGACAAAAATTATAATACCATGGGGAACTATGAAATTAACTTTATACTTTGTATTAGTTACTGCAAGAGTTGGCAATGGCAGAAATGCTGATTTTTTTCCAGAGTCCATGAAATCACCTTACCTATAGCTAAGGCCAGTTCTTATATCTTAAATTGCTTGATTAATTGAATCTAATTTTGTAAAAGGAAACATGATCTTTGAGGTTCTTCATGCCCAATCAACTTACCTCAGTAAGTCAGAAACCAAAACTCTCACAAGGATGATAAAATATTTCCAACAAGTAGTGACTATATTAAGGCTCTATACTGAGTTTCTATGCTGATATACAAAGAACTTAATTGAGATTTCTAGAAAGTTTCTCCATGATAATATTTTATTCCTGAAGAGTTACTGATTTTCACTATCTGTACTCAGTTTTGATTTTGCTCTTTTCCTTCTCTTTGTATTTTACTGCTTTATTAATTATGAATAAAAGTTAAGCAGACATATATTGAGAGTATTTGAGAAAAAATTACTTGTGTACAATTTTACTTCTATCAGTAACATGATATATAAAATCATATAGGTAAGTACATGTAATGCATAAATAAAACATGTGTGTGTAATTTTTGTTTGGTAACTTCCTTGAAAGAGCTGTTATTTAACTGTTCAGGCTTAACTTCCCTTGGTAAGCCAGGAAAGGAAGGAAAAATCCTCAATGGATATAATTTTCTTAAGGATATTCCTGAATCCATGAGCATTGTACCTTATAGCATTCAGTCAGTGACAAATTCCACAACAGATGTTTTATTTCCCTTTTGCTATTTATTTGAAAGGAATTTCTTGCACAATCTTCCCCTCTGTTGGCATCAAATGGGCATGTCTTTACCCCTGCTAGTGACACTCTGCCCAATCTTCTTTGACTGATTTTTTGCCCTCTGAGCAATCTTACCTTCACATGTGACCTGTAAATGAGTTAGAATGCCATAGAGTATAGGATTATACTAGGAAAACATAGTTTTGATGATAATATGGCTATGATAACCCCTTGTAAGTAGTGTAATTTATTTCCCTATCATATATTGATATATTACAAACACTACATAGTCATAAGTAAATCTCTAACTTCTTACATCAACCAAATTATCATATTTCACTTCTTAATTTTTTATAAAGCTACAAAAATTTCTTTCTTAATATTCTTTGGGCATTATAATTATGGCTACTCAGCAGAATCAGCTTGCCTCTGAAAAAGAGGAAATTGTTATGTTGGAATGTGATAAGATTTGCACAACAAAGACCATAGACTATAGATAATCCAGGAAATGCATTATAAATTAAATTCTAATTATGAAATCCAATATGTGGATTTATAATCCACAGAACTCACTTTGGGAATATAAAATGTTTCAACAACTTGGAAAACAATTTGACAATTCTTCAAAATGTTAAAGACATAGTTACAATTTGACTCAGCAATTCCATTTTTGGGTATATTACCCAAGAGAAATGAAAAGATATGGCCACATGAAAATCTGCATATGAGCACTGATAATAGCTTTATATATAATAGGCAAAAAGTGGAAGCAACTAAAATATATGACTACGATGAATGGAGAACCAGCATGATACATTCATATTAGGGAATATTATACAGGCATTAAAAGATATGAAGTACTGATAAAATGCTAAAACATGGATGAACTTGAAACATATTATGTCAAGAAAGCCAGACTCAAGAGGTCATAAACTGTATATAGTTCCATTTATGCCGAATGTTTAAAATAGGCAAATCCATAGAGATAGTACAATGAATTAGTAGATAATTGGTTGGCAACAATTGGGGGGTTAGAGAAAATGAGGAAAGATTGCAAATGGGTAGAGGGTTTCTTTTGGAGATGATGACAATTGTCTGTAATTATGTAATGGTAACAGTTGCACAAATCTGTTGATATAATAAAATCAATGAAGTTTATACTTTAAAGGTTGAATTTTGTGATATGTGAATATACTTCAGTAAAAAACTCTTATAAAAATTTCACTTTGAATGCTAGAAAACTTTCCAAGACATATGTAAAGAGATATGTATTAACTGAACGTGGCCTCAAAGCATGCAATAGGTTTGTTGTATATGCAGATTATATTCATGCTGTTATGATGATGATATTAGAGAATGAATCAGAGTTTAGAGAAAAATTACCATTTCCAAGTCTCATACACTAAGTTGTTCACTGTGACACCTATTGCATGTAGGGGAATACCTAATGTTCACAAATCTATATAATAATTTCCACATGTGAAATTGTTCTTTATAAAGGAAATAGGATCATAACAGTGCAATGACCACCATTTCTAATTTTTGGATACATATAAACTCTTACAAGGTTGATAGAGGCTTTTGAAGTCTGGCACTATCATAAGTAAATTAGTATTGAATGCCTTTGTCAAATTCAAATTTTAAAAATGATCATTATTAAATGATAAAGCATAGCTATTGTAACTCCATTTGTGAACACTGTCCACTAACTAGCATCTATGTGACTAATTCTTTACAATAATTTCTCTAACTGTTTTGGGGAAAATAATTAAAATTCTACATTGACCTATTGTTTACATTGTCCTTATTTGTTATGCTTCACCTGTTTGCATTTAATCAGCAATGAAAACATGTGTTTGCTCAAAGATACTAAAAATCAATTTGCAAATGCCTTAAAGAGAAGAGTAAGGGGGGTGGGAGTGGGCAACACCCAGCATGGCTTCCAAAAGATCAAGTATCGTCAAAAGAATCTAATCTCCTTCTTTGACAGAATGACAGCTTGAGAAAGAGAGGGGAAGAAATAGATGAGATTTATTTTTATGTTGTCAAGGTTTTGGAAAGTAGTCTAAACAACTGGCTCATCAATAAACTGAATATCTAGGTAAGTCACACACCTAGAGTAAATTCCCAAGAGACAAAAGGAGCATTCAAAGAATTGTCACCCATACATCAATGTCTCTTTGGGGTGACAATATAAAAAGTATCCCATGAGGAATTATGTGCAGTAAATAAGTCAGATTGACAAAGACAAATATTGAACATTTACATAGCAGATGTTTTAACAAAGCAAAATGTGTATTAAAAACTTAGAAGACACTGATAAAGCAAGCTTTCTGAGGTTAAGAGGGAGAAGGGAGGAACTCAAGGGGAAATAAAATATTTGCACCAGTGTTCTGACTATAAGTGCATTTTGATTGGGCTATACTAGTCTAAAACTTTTGAGGATGGATGGATTCTGAATCTGAAGAAACATCACTAAATGGAAAACGCAATAAGAAATAAAAGATGTAGAATGTCAGAGCATCAGATCAGAAGACTACCCACTAAGGGAAAACAATACCAGTGGATAGCGGAAAGAGAGAGATGATGCTCAAGAGTAACAGAAATGAAGATTAGAATTCAAAGGTAATAAATATTACATCAAATTCCTTTATTGTAACTAAGACACAAAGAAAAGGAGGTATTTCTTCGAAACCATAGCACAAAAGTGTCACAAAGCTAGGCATTTAACAATAATGCACAGAAGTCCATAAAAGCTTAAATAGTGAAATACAATGGAAGAAAGAAAATAGATTCAACACTGATTATCTCCTTCCTCAGAAGTAGAAATCTGTCTTTCAGTCTAATGATACTCTATTTCAAGCAATAATAAGGCAAATGATTAAGAACACAAGTAAAAAAATCAGGAACAATAAATGTTGGAATGATGTGGAGAAAAAGGAACCCTCCTACACTGCTTGTGGGAATGAAGAATGAATGCCCTATGGACAAGAATTTATCCAAATAAAAAATAGATCTACTATATGATCCAACACTCCTACTCCTTAGCATTTATCCACAGAATGAAAAAAAAAACATTAATTTTGAGGGATATATGGAAGAGCACTGATGGAGTATTTGGTAAGAGTTAAATGAGTTAACATGGGAAATAAATGAGTAAATTCTGGGAATCTATTGCACTGTATTGTGGCTAGTCGACAATATTGTGTACACTTAAAAGCTGCTAAGAGGTTAAGTTGTATGAGTTGTTTGCATGTAGGGGAATATCTAATGCAGATCTTGCTCATTAGACCCTTGCTGAATGTATCTTGTACACATTTTTCCTATCCATTTATTTGATAATTTATGTATCTATAGATATATATGTAGATAAATTCAGTTAATAGAGATATAATAACTATAACCCCACCTACTTCTAAAAGAGATGGAGGGGTTCTTAGGACCAAAGTCAAGATACAATTAACACAGAGCGAGGGTGAAAAAAGAAACAGTAGGATGTAAGAGGACACTCAGCTGGCATCTTTCTCTTTTTTCTCTCCTCCCCACTTTTTTAAATTGCTTACTCTTTGTTCTATCTCTTTACTTCAGGTCTGCTGAATATACCTGAAGTCTGTTAGTACCTTCACTTAAATATATATAAAGAGGGAGTTAAATATATAATAAAGAGGGAGTATGTAGGCTGAGACCAACCAAAGTTGATTCTCAGAGCTGCTTTTTCATGGTAACTTACTTAGAGGAAGATGCAATAAGAAGCATAGAGTAAATATAGAAGGGCATAAGCATTAGCAGGCAGAAATGACAATGGCCAGTGCTACAAACATTAAAATTTGTTTTCTTTTCAACAGAAGAATACAGATTACTGTTTCTTAAAATGGGATTCTGCTCCGTACTGGTTTTCTAGTTTCTGGGTACTAGTTACCAGTTAAGCATTCTTCTACTTATAATCAAAGTATGCATATTATAAACAGCTGCCCCCTCATCCCTCCTCTGTCCCATACTAGAGTAAGTCAGTAAGAGACACCTACCTGGGATTCCTGAAGACACTCACCTGTGTTAGAAGTGAGATCATCAGGGTCTGATTCAGTCCCATTTTGGCTTCCATTTCCCTGAAGTGTGTTCATAGCCGCAAGCTTCATTTTCTGCAACTTCATTGCCTCAGCCATTGCAGCAGCTGTTATACCTAGAACCAAAATCATTCCTCAAAAAACATGGACTATTTCTAAATGTACCTAAAAGCTGTATACATATCCATAATAGGACTGTTCTTTACTACACATGCCAAAAATAGACCAAAGTTGAATTTGTAAGTAATTTTTTAAACAAAATAAATTTTAGGCCTTCATTTTCTACCAATTTATTTATTTTTATTGCAGTAACACTGTTTGTTTTGGAAATACAGCATATCCCCATTCTGAGGCTGTCACCATAGCACTCCCACCACCAAAGCACCCATACTCCACCCCCATAGTCATTGTTCTCTCTCCCTACTAGGTTCTTGCCTCTCCCATTCCCATCTCCCTCTGAATGTCTCAATTATATGGGGTGTTTTCTAGGGCTATTGTTTAGGCTTGACTATATCTGACTGTCTAGTTTGTCTAGTTTCTCTATATTCAGGACACAAGTGAAATTACTATCTTATAGTGGACAGTTTGAAAATCTAAAAAACAAATATAGGTTATGTTTCACTATCCAAAACAGAGAAAACAGAGTAGTATGCAAATTGTTTGAAAAGCTCTATGAATAGCTAATATATTCTGATGTCTTAAAAGATTTCTGCACAGTAGTTCTAGACAGAACTCTCCATGTACTAAATCCCTCTAAAATAACATTACCAAGGAAGTGCTGTGAAATTCCAGAAGGAACTATTTTCTAGTGAAAATTCTTGTTGGCACTTCCAGTTGGATAGTTAGCTTAGAAGGAAGGGGGAAATGAAGGAAAGACTTCATATATTCTTTCTACACTTTTACTTTCTTCATTCTCATACACCGAATGATTAAATTAATGAAAACAAGTCATGAGAGTATGAAGAATTGTTGATCCCTGCTATGTAATTATGTTGTTTTGAATTACTATAATGCAATATGTACAAAGAGGTAAAAATTCAGGGAAATAGAGAATATGTGAATGCTTATGTTTGAAATCCTTTCTCCTGGTAAGTCTATATAAAGGTAGTGGCATAAACAAGTATTTTAAAAAAAAAAGGAATAATCTATATTCCAATGTTGTTCTCCAAAAAAATCTAGTGAACTCAAGTAGTTTTATGTTGTATCAAAAATCCCTGACCTCTTACTGGTATACTGGTACCATTGTCTAAAAATATTTCTGGTAGATTTAAAACAGCACTCAGTGAAATCCATTATCCCATTGAAATGCAAGTCAAGGAAGAAAATATTTGAGTTGGATAAAAGTATTCAACGGTTAGAAAACAATCTCTGAATATTTAAAAGTATATTTGTTATTGCAAAAAATAATTTAAAAAACTTTTTATTAGTAAAATACTCAATTTTATTTTCTCACCCTAGGCCAAGATATTTAACAAATCATAATTTGTCTTAAAATGAACCACCATTTTCTTTTCCAAATAAAGATATCATGAAATAAAAAATAATAGTAAATAGATAATAAAATAAATAAAAACAACTGTCAGTATTAGAAGAACCTGACCCTAAAAGGTGCAATGAGTTTTTACTAAGGTATAAAAAACAAAACCTATAACATCTAACATGTTTGTTTTGGGGAATCACAATGGTTTTATTTTGACACTATGCTTTATGATGGATGGAAAAATCAACATGAAGCAAATTTTTCACCACATTACCTTGCCTATGAGTCACTGTAAAGAAAGTGTCTGAAAGAAAATTGTTTTATGCTTTTGCACTTTTCCTGCATAGTACTGGAAATTTCATGCCCTATTTAGATTTTTGAATTTTAATCTCCAAAATGACTTATCAGGCACCCAAGCCAAAAATATGATGGCAATGATTTAAACAAAGGAACGCTATTTGGGACTGCTAGAGTTGAGTGTTTTATAATAAAAAATGTACTAGGTAAATTTTATAGAATTTACATCACAAGCTCTGACTGGAAATTCAGAACAAGGTCCTAACATTAATAATTATCGAATAATTATTTTAATATTATTGCCAGCACAATCAGTACATTTTGTGAACATGCAGCTCTTACTCTGTGATAAATAAGAGTTGGCAAAATATCTTTATTTTGTACTAAACTTATGCTTTATATATATATATATACATATATATATGTATGTATGTATGTATGTATGTAATTGTGGTGAAATTGGTTTGCATTTTTTGTGATTTAAAGATACAGGATTTCTCCCTTCAGAAACTGTTACCAAGCTACACCCACAATCAAATGTCCCTAAATCTATACAACAGTCCATTGTGTTCCCTCTTCAATTTGGTCTTTTTTTCTCCCCTCTACTCTACCTCAAGGAGTCTCAGTTCTATAGTCAGATTTCTAGGGTTAGTCATTGGTTTCGCTTTAACTGAACCTCTGTTTACTTATCATCCACATTAAAGTGATATTTCTGATATTGGTATTCCTTCTTCTCACTTATTTTGCTTAGCATGACGCCCTGTTTCATCCAGGCTATCACAAATGGCAATATGTTGGCCTTTTTTGTAAGTCACTGCGTGTATATAACACATTTTTTTGAACCAATTGCAATTTTTTGGAATTTAGGTATTTCAATATTTTGGTTAATGTAAGTAGTGCTGCAATGAACATAGAGGCACCTATTTCCCTTAACATAGGAGATTTTCAGCCTCGTGTGCGACATGGTGGCACTGGCCAGAATGCTGCTGAAGTAGCATTTCCTGGTCAAATGGTAGATTGGCTTTTAATATTTTGACAAATCTCTGTATTGTTTTCCTCAGGGATGGAGTAGTAGTCTACATTCCCACCAGCGGTGTAGAGGGTCCTGTCTTCTCCACCTCTTTGCCAACATTCATTGTGTCTTGTCTTTTTGACATGGGCCATTTTCACAGGTGTCAGGTGGTATCTCATAGTGTTTTAATTTGCATATCCCTGATGACAAGTGATGATGAACAGCTTTTCCTATGCCTGTTCACCATCTGTATGTCTTTGGAGAAGTGCCTATTTAGATCTTTGGGCCATTTTTTTTTTCCATTGGGTAATTTCTTCTCTTTTGTTATATATCTTCTTTGTAGATCTTGTATATCAGATGAATGTGTGACAAATATTTTTTCCCATTCACTAAGGTGTCTTTTTTCTTTTAGCGACAATTTCTATCACTCTACAGTTTTTAGTTTAATGTAGTACTAACTGTTTACATTCTCTTTTGTTTCCATTGCTGTTAGAGTGAATCTACAAAGACATCTCCAAAGCCTATGCTATCAAGTGTTTTGTTTCAGTTAACCTCTATGAATTTTATGATTTCAGATTTACACTCAAACGTTTCAATTATCAGTTAATTTTTGTGTATGAGAGTGGTCTAGTTTCATTCTTTGTATGTGGTTATTCAGTTTTCCCAGCACCATTTATTGAAAAGCCTCCCTCTGAAGTATGCTGCTACCTCTTTTGTTGTAGATTAACCATCCACATATGTGTTTATTTCTTGACTTTAAACTATATGCCATTGTACTGTATGTCTGTTTTAGTTCTAGGACCATGCTATTTTGATTATTAGAGTTTTGTTATTATAGTTTAAAGTCTGGGAATGTGATAGCACCATTCTTCTGCTTTTATGTTAGGATTGCTTGGCTTATTTGCTTATTATGTGGTTCCATACAAATTTCATAAATGTTCTACTGGGTTGTCAGAAAAGTCATGACATTTTTTTTCTGTTTTTCAAGCAAAAATGTATCATGACTTTTCTGACAACTCATTTCTTTTAAGACTATGAAACTTCGATATGGATTGCAATGAATCTGTATATTGTTTTAGGTAAGATGTTCATTTTGACAATATTTAGTCTAATCCATGACAATGTTTATTCTAATCCATTTTGACAATGTTTATTCTAATTCATGAACAGGAAATATCATTTCATTTCTTTCTGTCTTCTATTTTATTTAACAATGTTTTTATTGTATAAATTTTACATCCTTTGTTACAAGTGTTTGTTTTGACTACTGTAAATGGGATTTTTTCCTTGAATTCACTTTTTTCTCAGCACATTCTTTGCATATAGTAATGCAACTGATTTTTTTAATATTAATTTTGTAATCTGTCACTTTACTTACTCTTTCAATTAGATTTTAGTGGAGTCCTTAAAGTTCTCTACATAAATTATCATGTTGTCAGCAAATATAAAGTGCTTTAATCCTTCATTCTCATTCTGTATTGCTTTATATGTCCTCTTGCCTACTTGCTCCAGGTAGGGCTTCCCACAGTGTGTTGAGTATTGGTGATGAGAGTAGACATGCTTTTCTCTTAAAGATCTTAGTTGAAAACATTTCAGCGTTTCACCATTAATAATGAGGTTTTCTGTGGGTCTGTCATATGTGGTCTTTATTATGTTGACGTTTATTGCATCTATCCACAAGTACTTGTGGTTTTTAATCATAAGTGATGTTTTATGTTATCAACTATTTTCTTGTCATCTATAATGTGATCAAATTATTTTTCTTTCCTTTCATTGATGTAGTGAATTACGTTAAATGACTTTCAGATGTTGAAGCTTCCCTGTGTCCCTGGAATAAATCTCATGTGTTCATGGTGCATGATACTGTTAATGCAGTACTGAATTTGACTTGCTAATATTTTGTTGGGGATTTTAGCATCAACATTCTTGGAAATTGTTCTGTAGTTTAATTTGGCGTCTTTGTCTGGTTTTGTTATCAGGGTGATGTTGACAAAATGTGTCTTGAAGTGTTCCCGTTCTCAACATTGTTTGAAGAGTTTGAGACAGAGAAATATGTCATATTGAAGGATTTTTAGAACTCACTAGTGAAACCATCTGGTCATAGGTTTTGGGTTTTGGTAGACCTTTCAATACAGTTCAAATTTTCTTGCTTTCAATTTGTCTGTTCAGATTTACTATTTCTTCAAGATTCAGTCTCAGGTTGTTATATATTTCTAAGATTACTCCACCTCTTCTAACTTTTCAACTTACTAGCACATATATGTTTATAGTAATCTCGTATGATCTTTTTTTTTTTTTACAAATCATATTTTTATGTGTTTATTGAA